CAATGAACGTAGCCGAATTAGCGAACCACTTAAAATCGGTGTGTGATTGTCATAGCACAAAATTTATAACATTCTCTATCTATTTTCTCTCATAGCAAAAACTACGAAATGACACGACCAAGCCACGAAGATAGTTACCTAGTGCAAGCAGAGATTAATCATACATGAATCAAAAGGAGAATGAAGCAGTTATATGGTCAATACGTGATGTACCAAGCACACCATTACCAAATTCTCCCAACCATCTCGTACCAAACTTCTGCAAAATAAAACCATGAGGACCTTTCATCATAAACTCCCTGCGCACCCAAGTCTCACCACCATCATGCCACACTAAAATAGCCTACACAATTCTCCATCTCCTCACCAGTGTTCGAATGCCACCACCAAGTAGCAACCAACCTCATGTACTATGTTCCCGTCTCATATCTCAACCATGGCCAAACTTTGACGGGACAGTCTCTGTTGATGAAAGAGAGGTGTTCTTGTGATTCAAAGGGAGTGGAAGCGTAAGAGGAGAGAAAAGGAAAAAGTAGGATAACAAAAGGAGAAAATGGTAAAGTAATATTTTCTCAATTATGTTATCGAATGTTATCAACACTTATTTATTATTGATGGTAGGATATAATTTTGACTACTAACTATTTTGATAAGTGATGTAGATGTTATAAAGCATGCGGTTATTGATATCCATATTACTTAACATATACATATGCATTGCAAAGCAAGAAAAGGAGTTGTGTTGTGTCAAGTGCTCACTTGTGAAAAAGGATATTCGAGGGCTGAAGTTTGCCTTGAATATAAAATAAAGAACCTTGTATATGTTAGGCGTTGGCGGAAGGGCTTGAATGTACAATTGGGCGTTGGGGGAAGTGCCTATATAATAAAGTCAAAATTTCATTCTAAAAACTGGGTTCAAGGGATGAACATGAGTTAACTCATATTCTAAGATATTCGGAGCCAAGTGGTATAAGCATGGTATGGGACGTGCGAGCTTAGATGCCTTAGGTATGTGTTAGAGGGATTAGATGGAGTGAGTACATTCATCTATCTCATTTGCATATATTTCATGCATTTGAAAGAATTGTTACAATTTAATTATTAATTAATTGGTAGTTTTTGTTGTGAATCAATTTGTGCACTATTGTTTTTCCGTTGTGTATTCGATAAATTTTATGTAAGATTTTGTATATGATGTATGGTGTAATTGTTACAAATTATTTTATTTTCCACCATATCTTGGTAGTAGAATTTATTTCTATAGCTAAGATATGGCTCACACCCTAACTCGTGAATGACCCTTACTCGCAGTTTGGGACGTGACAAAAATTTCCTAGTAGATGTATGCTCCCAAATCAATTTGTCATCTTCTACATTTAAAGGCAAAGGTAAATGTAGAGAATCTGTTGCACCACAAAAGGGAATAAATCTACAAAATAATTTGGCAAAGACCAACTTTGAGCTTCAATAACATTTGAAACCCTAGGAAGAACTGTAGGTTAAATGACCAAAGCTAATGAAGGACCAATAATCGGGCCATCCAACCATTTGTCAAACCAAAAGAAAATTGATCTCCCATCACTAATAATCCAACGATTATTGTTATTTAGAATAGGCAAATCACGCTTCAAACCATGCCACACAGAATATGTAAATAGATATCTTGCATTTTGCAAGGTGCAAGAGGAAAACGTAGGCGAGCAAAAGAACCCAGCAAAGAAGAGGATTGTAAAGCATCCCAGCCAAAACTAAGCAAAGCTGTCAAGTTCTAAACAGCCAAATCTTGAAGACCAAGCCCCCCTTCAAGCTTAGGTCCACACACTATACTCCAATCAACAGTTACTAACTTTCGTGTTGCCAAGCCCAAGTAGAAAGATACTTCAAAAGGCAAGTTGGCCATTGATAAACTACCGTTGAATGTTTTCAAATCTAGCCGTTAAATTTGAAGTATAAACTTTAAAACCAATAAATTATTAAGGGCCTATGTTTAACCCATTCGGTTGGAGATGGTAAATGAGTACGGCCTGATTGTTTATTGGTTAAAGTTTATACTTCAAATTTCGCCGTGCACAAGCAGATAATTTATTAGTTTTAAAGTTTATACTTCAAATTTATTGGTTAATTTAATTAAATTATCGTTGAATGTGTTCAAATATACCCGCTAAATTTGAATAAATTATTGTAATTGAAGAGTTGAACGCCAAAAAATGCTAAGAGGGGGCTCATTTGACCATATAGTGGCTTGATAGGCTCCATAGAATTATAGTCAAGCTATCTGTTGGAGATTGGGCAAAACAGACAATTTTTTACCTTTTGGACCTTTAGGCCATCTCCAACCGAAGAAGCTATGTTTAGCCCCCGTCCAGATTATAGCCTGCAATAAATTATTTTTTAATGAACAGTGTCAAGCCATATCTATATACAATCTCCAACCGAAGGATGGTATTTTTTAGCCCTCTCAGCAATTTATTATTTTAAGTTTGTTTTTTAATTTTTTTGGATTAATTGAATTAAAATACTATATTAAAATAAAGTTTCCAGGCATATTTTGAGGATCATTTGTCGCTAAATGTTGTTTCAAGTTTCATGTTATTAAATATTTTTATTTTTACTTGCATGTTAACAACTTAGACATTAAAATGAGGTAAAATAATATGGAAGGGTGAAAATGATGTGAGAAATTATATAGAAATGACTTTGGTATATGTAGGAAAAAATTAGAATTTTTAAAAATTTCGTCTTTAGAAAAAAAAAAAAAATTTACTAAAATGATCCATCAAAACTGCTGTTGAGTCGATCAAAATCAAATATTGACGATATAACAGTCAGATATCTCCTGTAAATTAATCAATTGAATTTTCGTCTCATCAACATAGCTGGGCCCAACTTTTAGGGTTGGCTGGCTATGTTTGCCTAGCCCTGTGGCCATTTGGCTATATTTTTGCCCCAGCCCTCCATTGCAGATAGATTTTATGTCAAAATGGACTATACTTTGACCTATAATCCTTTGATAGACTTGGTTGGAGATGGCCTCAGCATTAGTATCAATGCTTGGTGACTGCCAAATTATGGCAAACATTGTGATATCCAATTCAACTATTTAAAATAGTGGATCGTTGACATCGGATCTACGGTATGTTTGTTAATTATCGGTTGTAATTTAAAATAATATCTTCCATCAATTATTAATTTTTTTTTTGTTTTGGACTCTTCTGACCAGATAAGATAAACAAACACACACACACACACAAAAAAAAAAAAAAAAAAAAAAAAAAAAAAAAAAAAGGGAAATAGTTGTGAAGAAAGTTACATTCGGCGGAGCTGCAAACAATTCAATCATTTTTAAATCAAATACAAAACTTAAAAAATAAGAAAATTGAAATAGTCATGAAGAAAGTTACATTTTATCTTAAAAGTCAAATCCTCTGGGACTCTGCAGCCAAATGCAAAGTAGTACTTTTGTAGAGTAAATTGACTTCTTTTCCTCCTCTTCACTACAATTATCACCAACTCCAAAGTTTTTATTTTTATTTTTTATTTTTTAAGAACTGGAAATATTTCATAACCAGGCCGAAGCCAGGAGAACAAAGAAAGCCACTCATGAAAAATCCATGAGAGTTCATCCAAAAAAAAAAAAAAACACAAATCCATGAGATATACCTATATATGTGTATATATAATAATAATAACGATAGGTCCCAAATATCTGGGACCGAAATTTAAAGCAAGTGCAAGGGAAATTTACTAAAATGATCCATCAAAACTGCTGTTGAGCCGATCAAAATCAAATATTGACGATATAACAGTCAGATATCTCCTGTAAATTAATCAATTGAATTTTGAAAAATAAATATTTTGACCAATTTCTGAAAGTATAAAGGGTTTAAAATCTACTTCAAGTTTTGAACTGTACAACCTAAATCCGCTAACTGGAAAGTGGAATGAGTCGGGGCCTAGGGATAAAAAAAAATATGAGTCTTTAATTTTTGTGGAAAAAAAATCAAAGTTGTTGGTTTGTGTGAAGTGGACCAGAGAAATGAGTTAATGAGTACTGTCAGGTTCAATTTTTGTGGCCCAGATTTTTTTATCCCTAGGCTCCGGACACTAAGTTCTGGAGTGGATCCAATTCCATACTTTTGGGTTTGTTTTGATCAATGTTTTTATATTTTATTTGTGGAGTTCTAGTTGTTTTAGTTTTGGAGTTACTTTTTCTTTTGTTTGGGAAAACTATAATAATTTGGAGTTACTTTCATTCTCATTGTGGTATGTTTTGATATAACGACCTTCAAATTTCGCACAGAACTCTTAAAATTCAGTTATTTTGTGTTTATTTTGGTTGTTTAGTTTTAGACCATATAATAGTTGGTTTTATGAAATCAATTGAAGTCTAGCAAAAAGAATTTATTTATGACATCTATTAATTGTAATGTTTTTAGTATGTTCATGTGAAACTATGTAATGTAAAAACCTCAATTTAAGTTTTTGGACTCAAGAATCTCAGGCTCAACCATGCTACTTGTGGTTTAATTTGAGAAATTTTCTAATATGCTCCATTATATCCTCTGCATACACCGAGATTTATAGAGTTTAAATTTTAATCATTGAATGTTTAATAAAAAAAAATCTAACGACAAAAATCTCTATATACACAAGGGGAATATTAGAATTTTTGCCATTTTGACCTGTTCTATCTCAATCACGACATTTTAAAGGGCCTATCAGCTTCAGTATCAACGCATGGTGAATGCCAAATAATGGTAAATATTGTGCCATCCTATTCAACTATTTATATTAGTGGATCGTTGATATCTGATCTACAGTATGTTAGTCATCAGTTGTAATTTCAAATAATATCTTCCATCAATTATTAATTTTTTTTTTTGGACTTTTCTGACCAGATAAGATAAAATCAAATCAAATCAAATATACGTCTAGAAATAGTTTAGAATTTTTTGTTAAATAAAAATTATGAAATCCGATAACAGGATCACGTGTCTGTGTAGATCTTAAACACAAATCCTTTGCTTTAAAATTCAACACTACTCCCATGTAATGACCCAACCTTTCTCACATCATCCAATGAGCCATCACAACGGGTGCCACACAAAGACCCCCTCCTGAAGGAGAGTGAAAGCCACCCATCAACTAACTTTACTACTTCCACATATAAAAGTGAAACAAAAGAAAAAAAAATGGAAATACAGGAATAGGTCTGGATTGGGATTGCACTCATAACAAACTTTCCCAAGTACTAAACATTATTGAGAGGAACTAGCTGATACAAAGAAACTCACATAATCACAGTGAGTAAACATGAGGTGGAAGACGAGGCTCACAGACTGCAACAAGGGGAGTTTTTTTCGGTGTCGAAAGCCCGAAAACCTCCTCCATGCTCAAATCCTCTTTCTTCATGTTATATGGCATTCTCCATGTAAATCCATGTAACAGATTAGCCAGACTTGACTGAATGACCTTAATGCCCAGACTGTAGCCAGGGCACATCCTCCTGCCTGACCCAAAAGGGAGCAGCTCAAAGTCCTGGCCTTTGACATCAATGTCCTTGCCTAGGAACCTCTCAGGGAAGAACTCCTCAGGGTTGTCCCACAATTCAGGGTCTCTTCCTATTGTCCACACACTCACTAGGGCTCTGGTGCCCTTGGGTATGTCATAGCCAGCTACTTGGCAGTCTTCCCTGGTTTGCCTTGGCACCAACATGGGTGCCACTGGGTGCAGCCTCATGGTTTCTTTGGCAATGGCATCAACATATGGGAGATTAACAATGTCCTTCTCCTCAACCCATCTCTCTCTTCCAATCACCCTGTCTAGCTCCTCTGCTGCCTTTTTGAATATCTCCGGCTTCCTTAGGAGCTCCGAAATTGCCCATTCCACCGTCACTGCTGAGCTCTCCGTTCCTCCGGCAATTAGGTCCTAATAGAATCCACCAACATAAAATAACTCTCATATTTTAAGTCACAAATAAGACATTAGTATTTATCTGGGTTAATTCTAGATCTTATTTAAAATTACGGTGATCTCAACCGCTCACATGCAGTCAATAACCATGGGATGCTAATGCATTGTGGTACCTAAATGCATCAACAGCTCACAGTTATCTGATCCTAACATTCCTCTTATATCCAGTGAACAAGACCTAGTATTTCACATCTCATATGTCACATATCACATCTACTAAACTTTAGGAAAATTCTCAATGATTATAGTATATTATTCCATAAAATAAAAAACTAATCAAATCATACCTGAGTAAATGCCTTGACCCCATGCCTCTCAAGCTTAACTTCTAGGTTAGGATCATCAGCAAGCTGCAAGAGCACATCAACCATGTCTTTTACAACAAAGTCTTTCCCACCAGCCTCCCTCTTTGTGATATGTTCATCCAACACATGCTCCAAAAACATATCCAACTTCTTGCTCAAAGTCTTCATCCTCTTTATGTACCCTTGTAAGTCCAAAAAATCAAGCCAAGGTATCGAATCGCCGATGTTCAACACCCCACTCAGCAAGAACAACTCATCCAACATCTTCTTGAACTCATCGGGGCTCACAATCGCATCTTTAGTCTCGTCAGTGTACTTCTTTCCAAGCACCATCCGGCTTATGACGTTGAGGCTCACGGTTGAGAGGTGGTCTTTGAGCAAAACGTTGGAGTTGGAGGAATCATATAATCCTTTAAGCAAGGCACTCATTTCCTCCCTCCTAATATATTCATAAGACTCTAGGCGTTTGTTGCTGAAAAGCTCCGTGATGCACATTTTACGGGCTTGCCGCCAATATGGGCCATACGGGGACCAAGTGATGTCCGAGTAGTTGTAGGTTGTGTGTTTGCCGGCTGCGAATTTAGGGCGGCCGGCAAAAGTGACGTCGTGTGTTTTCAGGAAGGCCTTGGCCATTTCTACTGAAGAACCCACGACGACAGGGTATGACCCAAACTTGAGCTGCATGATGGGGCCGTATTTTAGGGCGAGCTCGTGGACGGAACGGTGGGGAAGGTGGCTTATGAGGTTGAGGTTTCCAATGATAGGCCAGGGTTTAGGGCCGGGTGGCAGATTGAGCTTGCGGTGGCGGAGGCGGCGAGAGAGGAGGATGAGGGCTAGAGCTCCTAGCCATGCAGCTACGTGTGCAACAACCCAAGTGGCTTCCATTATTTGACAAGTAGTGAAGTGGTTTGTCTGGGTGGTGAAATATTGATGTATGTTTGAGGTGGTGGGAAAGGGGGTTTATAATTGGAGGAAGTCAATGCACAGGTCGCCTCACTTGTCTGGTATATAATCTAACATCATTTCAATTGTCGTTTTTCATGATAACAATTTGTCGTTGGCAAGTATGCACATTGGATTTCTATTAAACAGAGAAGACTCACCAGTCAATGCTGATTATGATTTTTTTTTTAAATAAAATTTATTGGAGAGAAAAAGAGAATACAAGCAGCAATGAGCTGCAAATAGCAAAGCTAACAACGCTGCACCAAAGCAGCAACAATAAGCGCTAACTATTTATAGGGATATTTTATTTCTTTAAAAGAGACTAATCAGCAGCAGAATGGATGATTTTCAAAGAACTCAACCAAAGGCTAATAGTGGACTTAATTGAGTTGAGAACCACCGCAGCGGTTTGACATGAATTCTTGAATCCACGGTTGTTCTACTCCAAACATAATACACAGTAGTAGCAAGACTTAACTTCAACATTATTGATGATAGAGATTTTCCCTTATAACGGCTAGCAGCCCACATGACAAAAAGAGGCCATGGGAGCCTTGGCCAAGGGACACCGTACCTGAACAACACTGAAGACCAAATACCATCATAAAAGGACACTCAAAGAAGAGGTGGCAATGGTGATTATGTTTAGTAAAAGGCAAGTTAAGTGTCTTCATTGGGAGAGAATGTAAGAGATTGATTTTGGAAATAAGTGTTTTTTTAAAAGAGCTTCTGATTATGTTTAAAATAAATTTAAAAACGCCTTTCAATCATACAAGCGCGTTTTTAGAGAAACACATGTTTTGTACTTGTTAAAAAAAATACTTTTAAGTGTTGTTTAATAAAATTTTCTTCATGTTTATACTTACGAGCAAAAATACTTTCTAGAAAACTATTCCCAAACAAGTGATATGATTACCCACAACTAGAATGCGATTATCACATTGTATCCTTGTAGATAGAGTTTCTTTGTTGCGTTTTACTTGGTGCCTCCAATTATAATAGGAGAGAACCAAAGTACCTTTTAAAATAAATAAAATAAAATATAGACTTGACTGTCCAAATTAAAAATTCAAATGAGACTCAACAACTCAACTAATATTGTTATTAATAGCTACAAAAGGATAATATTAAAAAAAAAATAACGATATTCACACATTCATTTTATATTCCACACATTTTGTGAATTTTTTTGTCATTGATCTTCTTCATTTAATTTTAATGGACAGTTGGAAACTAAGAAGAATGCATGAAATATAAAAATAAGTGTGTAGATAGCATTATCCAATAATAATTATAATAATAATAATGAAGTGTCGTAAAAAAATTGTAAAGAAGGCCAACTTGATAATTTGGTCAATGATCAATAAACGAAATTCAAGCCCTTCTAGTCTTTAGGGAAAATAATAAGAAACCTACCAAGCCAATCCACGAAGAAAACTAAAAAAGTGAGAGGCGTTTTCTCAGTTGGTATGCTTGAATGGGCTGAAGGACTTGACCGTGGACTAGATTGCAAATTCACTTTACTTTCTTATCATGAGTTTCCGGGAAAATCTTGGGATCGGATGCATGAGACAATTGAAAAATGTTTTTTCTTTTATTTTATTTTTTTTTGGAAATAGACATTTTCAACGCAGAGGTGGCTGTTTGAACACGGTTCCCAAATTTTTACATTTATACATCTCGTATTTATCCTGCATTTTATTAAATCTTGATCATTCTATTAATCGTCATACATAAAACTGTTTTCTTTAAAAGTGCTCTTTGTCTTTTTAAAAGCGCTCTTAAAAGCATTTTTAAACATGTCAATTGTGTAGTGTGGAGTGTAGAGCCAAAAATAATCTCAAAAATTATAGAGCTGACACCTGGATTATTTCCCAAGAAATATAAGACTACCCCTATTAAAGGAGCAGAGAGCAGCCTCATTCACCACAGACAGCTGAGGTAGAACAGGCAGAGATCAACAACTGCTCAATGCACCCATGGGCAGCTTAGGATATTTACCTATTTATTCTAAGATATTTATTTACACAAATATCTTAGAATATTCCACCCAAAATACGACCTAGGGCCGGCCACCCCTAAACCCTATAGGGTCGGCCCACTTCCTCCTCCTTTCTTATAAATACTCCATTATCTCCAAAATTCTGTGAGCTTTAGCTACCCCTAAAGAGGCTTTTTGCTTCCCATAAACACTCAAAGACATTCTTTACAAAATTCTAACTTTGACATTGGAGATTCTTTAGCCAAATCCCCCTTCCTCATTCATCGTGGGTTTGTGAGGCTTTTGACCTTAATCTTAGGTGTTATTATTTTGCAGGTGCAAATTTGTCAATCAAGGAAAGGTGGAAATTTGCATCCATAAATTGGTGCTTTCGTAGAGAGCTCTGATCCGAAGACTCGAGGAAGACTCTCGCTTTCAACTTTCTTCGTAGATCCACGACTACGATGGCAAGAAATTCAGAAACTACAACCAATAGGACCTCCTACGTTGAAGCACATGGACCAATCGATGGAGATCGGGATGTGGCTCCACGCTGTTGCTCCTCGAGGCTTACCATGGCAAAATTGCACCTTTGTCACCACAAGGTACCGTGACCATGCCAGCAACGACAACCACTGCTATGAAAGCCCACGGGGCAGCCTCCATTCAATGCAAGGAAACCCAAGGGTAGGAGGCCCATGACCCAAGCAACTAGCAGGTGCAGACCCAAGCAGCTGCTCGTCCTCAGCAGTAGCCTTTGGCGCCTGCCACCTTCACTTGGATGCGAGCTGCTTAGACTAAAGCAGCCCAAGCCACGCCAACCGAGGTGGCCTAGTGCCCATGCACCCGATCTACTCCCACAGCCTTCCAGATGGTTTAGCATGGTCCCAGACCAGTTCAACCAGCCCAGATCCAGATCCCAAGGCCGACAGTTGAACCAAGGGTATTTTCACCCCACCTTACTACATATCTGATCTATCTTGGCTCAAGCTTTGCATCCAAAGTCTATTACACTTCCACATAAACATCTACTATCCCTTACAGTTCCACTCCAAGCAACGAACAACATTTATCCCGACAGGTAGCCTAATTGACAAGTGCCCTCGTGCAGTAGACTACCTAGATGAGTCAGCTGCTGCAGCGTACCGACATACAGCGTGTCGCGAACAAGGTGTCAATAAGTAGGAAAAGGGTAGGCAATGACGTTTATTTCCAACGTCGTCCCGGCAAGCACCCCCTCAACCAGTCATGAATTGAGCATTATGGCAGTCTACACTCCTGCCTGGGCCCTTCAGATAACGTAGTCTCTCGTTTTAGCATGCAAAAGAGTGTGCATTCTTGGTTAGGCTTTTAGATGAGCATACATTCACGATTGGGCCACATCTTGATAATCAACATAGACAACCTTCCAGGCATAATGTCCATTTGCGGTTAGGCTCGTAAGGAGCATCTTCCACCTCACATTGGAGTAGGCAGGACGACAAATGGAGAGAATCATCCGCTCAATTCGGGTCAAGTTTAACCAGTAGCCTGCGAGTAATTCGATCGCCTGCTAGGAATGTACTAAATGCACAGCAGTCGTGGCATAAATGAGCCGATCATAGGGAAGAGCAGTAGAGACCAGTAGGTCATGACCAGGGGCAGCCAGAAGCTTCGTTGTCCTTGCAAAGGCAAATTTAAGAAGAAGTAAAGGGGCTCCTAACTAAGTGATTGCTCGAATTCGAGCACATCGAAGCCACAAACGACCCTTTGTAGAGACGTGGCACACATGAGCATATCACCTTTCACGGATGAGATCGTGTAGACAGAACCCTCGTGTAATTTCAATACACCATATTTCACCATATTCAAAGGAGATGGAGACCTGGAAAGGCACTTGAAACACTACCGTAATGCGATGATCCACTACTTTGCAGGGCAAGGCGTAGGTTTAGTTCCATACCCTGCCTCCATAATCCATCTGGAGTTTCGGCAACCTTTTCGTAGTTTTCACTAAGGAATACTTATCCTACCTCTCTATAAGAAGAAGTCTGATCATCTCTTCAACATTAAGAAGAATCCGAATGAGTCAATCTATAACTATTCAAAAGGTTCAAGCTTGAGAAGGCGAAGGTAGTCAGCTGCAATGACTCGATCACTAATGCAGCCTTCCAAAATGGACTCTCAATAGATCATCCCCTATTTAGAGAATGATCATGAAAAAAAACCTGACTCTAGCAGACTCATTCGCTCTAGTAGAGAAGTATACGTTTTGGGATGAGGCTCGACAAGCAAACAAGGCACTTGAGCAACCTCAGAAAGAGTTCAAGATAGCTTAGAAAAATGTAGATAAGAAGCAGTCTAACGATCGAAGCAAGTAGGGGACCAAGCGTAGAGATTGGTCCTCAACAAGAGGAGCTCAGCCACTAAGAACTATACCAAGTTCTCGATCCCGATCGCCTCAGCGACCCTAAGAGTGAGCCTTGATTCAAGCTGCCAAGACAATCTAAATGAGACACCTCCAAGTTAGATCACACTAAGTACTATACGTTCCACTGAGGTCCTGGTCACACGACTGACATATGCTATACCTGGAGAGACCACCTAGAGAAGCTGGTGAAGAAGTGTAAATGTGATAGATACCTAGACAAGCCAGCTGTGCGGCCTAGAAGAAACGCAGACGCAGACGATGAGCTACCTACTAAGACCATCAGAATCAACAGCATCTCCACCAAGTCCGAATACTTAGGGGCCACAAACAACTCCATGAAGAGGAAGATCCAGCAGGTTATAGTAGTCTCCTAACTTCAGGTAACCGATGCCAAACCTGGGCCCATCATTCGAGTAAAATGTCGAAGGAATAGACTTCCCAAACAACAACGTCCTGGTCATTTTGGTCTAACTGGCTCACACCATAATCTACATAGTGATGGTGGACAACGGCACGTAGTAAATCTACTTCAACTATCCATCATTCATAAAATGGGCCTGGAAAGCACGATAATATGCCAAGCAGAGGTACTCATCGGATTTAAT